TTGGCGACGCCTGATAAAAACTTTTGCACTCGCAAGTGCAAAAATAGTTTTGAAAAGCTAAAAAATGGCTTGTAAAGTAAAAATTCTTAGTTTACGTTGGAAAAACTAAAGAGCAGAACCCTCCTCACACATATGTAGGGCAAGAATAGCAGCGCTGTGATCCCATATGAAACAATAATCCCTTTCGATGTCATGAGCTTTGCCGATGTTCTTACTTCCGCCTTTGATATCAGCGCAATCTTCTTCTGTGATCTTGCAATACAACATTTAAGCCAATAAAAATGCTTATAAGGAAACTGAAGAGCGAAGATGTGTTTTTTCTGTTATAGCAGGGCCAAGAATCCTTGCCACTTAGGGCCACTTAGGGAGTGCGCTTACACAATTTTTCGCTTTTTGTATGCATAATTAACCCCATCATTCCTTTAGCCATCTCAAAAGTAAATTCCCTTACCCTAATTTGTAAGATTATTGGGCCTGTTCCCATGCCGAAATAAAATTTTTTTCATAACTTTTTTATTTTTAACTCGATTCTAAAAAGTTCCCATGCAAATGGGCAAATGGTTCGCCCACTCAAAAACTATTGAAGATCCTTATCTCGACAGTTCGCCGACGATATCGTTGTCGCCAATTTTGCATTGGCCAGCAAGGTGTTGCAATGTTTTTCGTTGCCAGGAGTTGCAGATTTGGAGGTAATTATCCCTTAAAATATCTACTCAATATTTCGCCGCGTGATGTGAAAAGCAGCAACGCAAGCGCTCATGATACATCTTCGTCTTGATTGGCGCTGTAGCCGCCTAAATGTTTTTAGCCGAGTCCAAAAAAGTACGCCAGTCGTTTCTCTTTTTTGCCAACTGACGCCAAATTGAAATACCAAGTGAAGCTAGGTCCTTTTCGATCTGGTCTTCCATACATACGACATGACCAAGCCAGCGCAGTCCCTGTATTTAAATTCGCTACTCTATGTTAATATCACCTTGTCTGAAACCTCATGTGGTATCAAACGGCTCGGAGAGGTTCTTCCTAATTCTAGCGGAGGTGGTGGTACAGCTTAACGTGATTTTATCCCGCCGTACTAGTTTCGCGGGGTTACACAAATTCCTTTTAGTGCTATCGAGATCGACAAATAGTTGGTGCGAGTCGATCCTCTTCACTCGAGTCTTTTCCAAGATTTGGCGTATTGTGAATACCTATTCTGTGGTAGGAAGCCACACTGATAAGGTCCAATCAGTTTGTTGGCTGTGGGCTTCAATATTTCACTCAATACGCTCGATAATACCTTGTAACTTATGCTTAGAATGCTGATACCGCGGTCGGGCATGCGTTCATCTGATCATATTCTGCGTAAGACTTAGGGCTGGTTTCT